CCCCAAAACACTTTGTTCAAATTCTGATATTTACCCGGTGTTAACTTGTGGGTCTAGCATTGTATAATAAACCACTTGTAAGTTAATGGCTCTTTAGTAAAATGTCGGCCCGTCTGAAACTATGTTCTTCTTTTATAAATATTTTGATCCAAAATCACCATGCTTTGATCTTAGATATTTAGTTTGTTACATCGTCTTATGGATCTTATTCATAATTGAAAATAAGTGTTGACCTACATTGTTTGACATGGTGATGGTATATTGACCATGGAACGAAAGCCTTGACATTGAAGCAAAACACACAATAGGATATTTTATTGTATAAGGATATCAGTGACCTTGACTTTGACAGACTGACCTACATTTACCTTGGGTTTTAAATAATGAGCATATTTTCAGATGCAGAACTGAACACAAATTTAAGCTGACCTAAATTTTACCTCGTGATTTAAGTTTTGTAATTTTTCCTAAATTTTCCCCTTCATTTGATGTACCATTATTTTTATATAGAAGTTGATATTGATTTTGACCTTGCAACATATTTTTCAGATTGTGAGCTACAGTTTCAGACCAATTACTTTAATGTTATGCCTACCTTTATTTAAAATTATCAATATTATTATCTTTGTCCTAACCAAACTGCATTCAAGCGTTTGTGCTATCATTTAGCAAATTATTGAGAGTTTCAAATTCCATTTAATCAGTATTGTCCATTCTTTTCTTGTTTAGGGCACTTAGGAATATTATACTTAGGACAATATGCCGCATTTCATAGAATAGCTCTCACATGTCACTTTAAAAGTTCCGTGATAACAGCCATATGAACACATCTGCGGATGTTCCAAAAACTTTTACCAGCCAGTTAATGTTAAATCCTCCGTTTAGGCCGGTGCTAGAGGGCATAGACGGAAGCTTGCAATTACCACAACCGACATTGAACAGATTCAATCAAACCGAACCTGTAATATTTATATATTTTCCGTGTTGGGCTTCCTTTAGTGGTCCTGTTTTACTCTATTTTATAGCAAGTCATTTTCAAAAAAGATGAAAAAGAACGACATTAAATATGTTCAATGTAGCAATGGTCAAGTGGAAAAATGTGACTGCTTCTCAACCAAATTGGGGTCCTGTTGTTGGACCGCAATCATATTTCCTTGTTTGACCAGTTTCGATTAGAACTAGGAAAATTTGAAAAATTGATATTAACTTTACATCTTGTTATAACTGTTTTTAGTTTTGTTACAAATAAATGATCAAAAATTGGCGTGACCTAGCCTGGGATTCAGGTGTTGATATTTTTCCTTATTCATAACTTACGCACTATTTCATACTCGATCGTATTTTGATTAACATCTGTTAAGTTTTATGTAAGATCAAAGAGGCAAGACTAAGTTCACTAGTCGCAGCCTAAACAATTGTACTTACACCTCGATCTCATTACTTATATAAGTGTTTTGTTTGGTGTTGTTTTGCAAGCAAAGTCTTGTCAAATAATACAAATGATGGCACAATTTATGAAACCGTGAAAATTATGGAAAACCAGCCTCATTTACGAGTGTTTCTTCTTTTTCCTTGGTTCATAATCTTCACATGATCCGAAACATTAAAAACTTAGAAGTATGTCAAAAAATGTTTCTTTTTCAATTTAAATAGTTTTTATTTTGTGAATGTTATAAATAAAATATTATATTTGTGTAAGTTCATTACCGAATTGAACTCGTTAAATGAAATGATATTATGCGTGTCAATATAATTTTATTCAACTCGTTCAATAAATGTAATTTACTTTTATTCAACTCGTTCAATGAATTCTATATTACACTAACCTCATTCAATATCATCTATGTATTGATTATTCCACTGTTTAGAGGACATGATTCGATATTTGTCGCTTAAACATCTTGTGCGCAAGATAAAGTATGTTAACACGCGGTCCACATAGATCTACCGGCACGCGCGGGTATCTCATATAATTTATTAAAACATACTAAGGACAGATGAAATTAAGTAACACAGGTGTAAGTACACAAAAGATTCTTTCGTGAATTTTTCCAAATTTACTTTCTTTTAAGTCCCCAAGAAATACAGTACTAGATCCGTGGGTGCTACAGCACCAATACCATCATGAGACGACTGGATGGAGTGACATATTTAAGCGTTGGAAAAGGTTTCCGAAGTACAGCATATCCTGGAATGTCAGCAAGCAAAAGTAAAAGTATTAGCTGCCAAATCACAAATCTTCCACATGTACGTACTAGTTCACATTTTATTAGATAATGCAATTTAGTATCCCAGTTTGATTGTAACTTACAAAATTGTAAAAAGGAACTATATCTTTGAAATAGTAAATCTATTGGACCAATCAAATCTAGTTTCAAGTATTTATATAACCAAATAATTAACTTAATATTGCCGTATGGAATATTCTTATCATGCGCGTGTACATGGTAAATCGTATGAGTGTGTATGTGTGTCTGTGTGTGTGTGTGTGTGTGGGGGGGGGGGCGTGTGGGTGTGATATAATAGATATGTATAAAAATATAATGTAAATAAGAATTCAGTGTGAAAAAATATGACTTCAAATTGTTTAAACTGCTTCTTTTATATCATTTTTATGCAAATCCTTGCAGATGCCATTGCATTACACTACAACTAATTGCGGATCAAGGAAAAGGTCATCATCAGAACTACTGCTGCCGGTAGGTTGTAAAAAGACGAAAAATATTACCACAAATATGCTTGGAATAAAACCAGCAAATATATTATCAAAACACAAGAATGAGACAAAACCTGAAACCTCAAACAATACATGCCGTGGTTGTCACAGGATTTTTTTCAACAGAGCCAGGCTTGAACAGCACAAAAAAGTTACTGGCCGACCAAACACTAACTCTAGGATACATTGTTCGGTTGGGACCACTTTTTCCTCGCATCGTCAACCTCTGATAAATCTAAAACGCCGAAGCGACGAAACGATACACTGTAGCCCCGAGAAGATTCGCCGCACCAGGGCAAAAGAATATCTGAAAGACTTCCATAAACGCAACATAGCTATAAATAATTCGAGTAAAAAGGATTCTGTTAAACTTGTTGACGAACACTTCGGCAATTAATGAAACATGTGAAGAATTCAAAGGGAGGCAACATTTATTGCCAAAATTTAGTGAGAGCTGGCAGTTTCAAGGAGAAAACTAAGATTGGAAAAGCTGATGAATTTGATACAAACATTGTTTGTAACATTATTCCTGTAATTATATAAACTCGAGGCACAGTTGATTTCGAATACCAGCCTTTGGGGAAAATGGTAATAGATTCTTACTGTCTTAAATAACGTTACCTTAGTAATTTTAGGCCGATTATGATTGAGAATTGAAACAATTCTTTGAAAGAAAAGAAAGAGACTTTGTAAAATTTATTTAAATATATGTTGTGCATTACATTTGAAAGAAAACGCGTTGGGCATGCAATGTTGCGATAAAGATAGGAACATGTACATCAAGTGAAATTTTAACTTCCACTCATTTCTCGCCAAAAAAAATGTTTCATCTATATGGAAACACATATATAAACATAATAAATATAATAGCATTTTACTTGGTCTTTTAGCAAAAATTGGTTCTGTAACATTTTTATCCAAATTAACTATATATATATTCAAGATTAAAAGATAAAAAGGTGTGCGTTATGTTTAGCAAGTTATCATATGAATTTGTAAAGTGCAATTTTAGGGTACACTCATTATTTACCTTATGCCGCTCACGAACGTTAAATACGGAAGGCGCCATGATAACCGTCACATGAACACGTCCCGGCATGTTTCTAAATTTAGAATTAGGCAATTTTATGATAAATAAAACAAATCTGCTCAAGCCGGTGTAGTTTTGGGTGTTCTTCAGTGTTTACGTTTTTCTCTTTTTTCCAATTTGAAGACAATCATCATTTTCTTTTCAGATGGGAAAAGCGAATAATATGAATATCAAGATGAGACTAAAAGATATTCCTGGTGGCAAAGAAATACCTAAGGGATACGCAGTTGTGAAAGTTAAAGACGGCACCGTCCCAGCAAAACTTACTTATAACGGACACTTAGTTCCAAGAGAAGTAAAACAAGACCTTCACGGTAAAATTAAAAATGCTGTAAAAGAACTAAGGATGAAAAGTGAGTGACTTAAGTTATCTATCGTATATTCTCATCCCCTTCTGTCAAACTTCGGATAAGGACCTCGAACAAAATAGTTTGAATACACAGAACGGATACGGTATTTCGGTCTAACCTATTCTAAGAAACTAGATACGTAAACAAAGAGTATATATCGAATAAAAGTCGATCGAAATAAAGTAAATTTATCAATCTAAAAATAAACAGTTCATTATTTATACCTTATTATTATGGTTAGAAGAAAATCTCTACCGGTTGACATTAATTCACTTTTTTATTTTTTTTTTAATTGTTCATCAGTGGCCATTTTGAAATTGATTTTGATTGTCAGACATAGTTTCAATCATAATGTTATCGAATTCGACTTGTTTTCCTTTAGATAACAAAAATATATATTCGTTACACATAATCAAAGATTACACTGTCTGTCTTCGTTTACTGGTAGAACTACTTTCATTCTGCATTACTCCCGAGGTTATTATTGATAATAGCTGAGATGTTTCGAGTAAGAAAAATAATTCTTATTAATACTCAGAACATGTTGTTTAAGCCGATGTTAAGGCTTCCATAAAACATCCTTCGAAAAAGAAGCATAGTGAAGATATTGTATAAAGTGCAGTTAAAAAATATCTGATATCTTTAAAAGTTTGATATTCTAACTATTTTCAACTTTGTACAGCAATAGAACAAAAAATATTGAAATGATATTTTGTAGATATTGATATTAGTCGAAATGCTCATGGACCTGCCTTGACGTTGATGATACACCAAGATCAAGGTCGTAATCATGACATAAGTGTCGATATTACACCATCAATTCCATGCAAAAAACCTTTAACAAATAACGGGTGGCCTCGTCCGAATACACGTAAAGCTTTTAGTAACCGAGTGATTGATGACATTAAAAACGCCGGGACACACTTAGTTCCAAAAGGTGATAACGTATGGGCAATTTCATATTCAAAAGCAGAAAATGCTGCATTATTAAAGATTGATAAGGGAAATGGGTGCCGGAGAGAGGTCAATAGAATAATGAAGAAGCATGTCCAGGATTGCACATCCCGCTCAAAAGATGGTCTTCCGGGAGTTTCGTCACACATGATAAAAGTAAAGCTCACTTTTTGGTTTTTATTCACTTTTATCCCGACAGCAGTGCAGTTATGGTTTCGATATCCTATGATTTTACATAATTAATAAAATGTCTATTTTTTAAACCAGGATAAAAAGTAAATTTTGGTTCGTTTGATTCTAAATTTTGATTCCAATTGTCTTCGCAATTTCATCTCTTTAGGTCAGTTGATGCTTATGTAATAAAAGATTATGCCTTCAAAGGCATTTATGGCTCAGTTTTACGTCACACCAGAACAGAAAAGGTTATATGGCAACTTTCCAGCTTCAGTGGTGGAAGAAGACTTCTGTGCATTATTTTAAGCAAGAATTGGCACCAGAGTATAAAACTCCCGTTATTTCGAAAGCTAGCTGGACAGCTTTGTTACATGAAAAAATCCGAATCCTTTACCCGTGGCAGGATTCGAACCCAAAACGGTGAGGGGTGAGTAGTTTGAAGACAACGAGTTTTACCACTATGCCACGGAGGCCCCTACACCATATTCAGTTGTATCGTTTTTATCGGCCTTAAGGTTTTTTTTCACTGTTCTTAATTTTCTTTATGATAATATAATGCCCCTAGTTTTCTTCAACAGATAAAACATAATTGAAAAAGTATATGAGGATAAAAATTCATCGGCATATTTTGTTTCAAAATCTTCATAATTGATAGAGATAGTGATTCTTTGCAACTGTACTTCACAGGTCCAAATATAAAAGGATACAATTTAACTGTTACTTTTGCTTTTTCAGCACCAAGTTCTTTGGTCACAGAATTAGATCCAGACCAAAAATACTGGCATCAAAGAAATGTTGATAACTGCCTTTACGATACCATGGGTGATATTGTATCATCCCTTGATCGAGGAAAACTCCCAAATTATTTTAATAGTTGTGAGAACCTTATACAGGGGAAAGATCGTAGAGTTCTTAGGGAATTGAGTGATCATTTTGAAAAAGAGAGGACACAAATGTTAAATATGTGATCTGAATAACGAATTGATGGCAAGTAGTGTAGTAATTAGTGTAAAGCGATGACTTGTATCATTTTTCATCTTACATCAATCGTGACAATATTCAAAATCATACAATTTGTGTAAAAATATTTCATTTTGCTACTATTAGACATGAATTTGATGTATTTAGCTGACAAAGTCTCCGACAAATCAACTGGAGAAATTGTTATGATAAATTTATCAAAAATAGAAAAACATAAAACTAATTAAGTTATAGTAAGATGGTTATGCAATACAATATTTTCGTTGAACAGAGTTCTTCATGTTGCTCTCAAAATTCAATACTCGATTTAATTCAGTGCATTTAACATAAAATTACATTACATTAACATTCTTCCATATTTCCAAAACGACTTGTTTCTTAAGTTAATATACATGTATAACTACGTAATAATAAAATCTCAAATTACGAACGTGGGTAAAAAGCTATGTTGCAATTATGAAACACGATCATGAAATAAGTAGAATTTTGCTTGTTTTATCTGTTTTTAATATTACCATAAATCTATTAACTACAACAATTACTAATCAAATCAAGTAAATTATGAAGTAATTATATTGTTCTAAAGTCATATTAAGCTTTGTTTTATCTCTATTAAATATTTCGACCAAATACCAGTTCAAATTTCGTTTACATTCTCCCATTGAAAAACATCATTGGAAAGCTTGAAAAAAAAAGATTTTCATAACCTTTCTTAAAGACGAAAATAAATACCCTAATCTTGTTGATGAATATATGAATTAATAATTCCAACAGCTTCGCTTCCTTCGTGATCATTGATTATCTATTTGATAACAACATATATCGATACTACATCAAAACGTTTCATTTTTTTACATAATCAGATCTTTCTGAATATTCAGTTAAGATATGATCATTTGTGATTAACAACTTCATTTATAATTAAGATTAGCGAAACAATAAAATAAAAACTAAAATGAAAAGACATGGAATAAAAACTTATGTATAGTGCTTAACCCATAACTTCATATAGACGTCTTTGAGGCATCAAATGATGAAAAAATGCTCTATTCAGACCCATATCACTTAATCTCCTATCAAAATGATAGATCAAAGGGTGCCAGAGGGGGACGTGCCCCCTTCTGCTTAGGGGTTTGAAAGGTGACAGCAGCCCCATCACCGCAAATAAGATTTTGGACTTTAGAGAGGCTAACATTTCCCTCGGGTCGATCAGAAGGAAACATGTAACCAACAATGAAAAGCCTTGCACTCAATCTCAATCCATTCAGAATTTGCGGCACTTTAAAATAGAAGAAAATCAACGCAAAGTGGTTATTTTTGGCAATTTTGAGATGTCCCCTCGTTTCCAGGGTAACAGGAAATTTAAGATTGAGCATGCGGTTACAAAGGATATTTGCCAGTCAACATTTGTGCCATGCTTGTTGAATATTGAAGCACCATATACAGTTTTATAGCAATTTGAACTTGTAGCAGGATGCTTTTCAAACAGACAATTTTCAAAAAATGCTCAAGCAGTTATGGGTTAACAAGACGACAAAATTGATTATAAGCATATTCTTAATTCTCTAAAGGAATCTCAGAAGAATAACAATATAAAGGTGTTGCATGACGTTACACTCATGATTTGAGTTAGGTATGATGCAATCTTAATCTTCATTGTTATTCTATTACGTAAACATTGAATATTTACAGTTAATGTTCTATATTTTTACTAAAAGTGACATTATTTGCATGTTTAACTATAGTTGAGCTGAATTGACCACATATTTTAAAAGATTGACTGTTTGAATGGTGATTGAATAACCTGCAAATGTTAAGGATAAGATATAAATTTGCCTAAAATATAAAAAAAGACTTTTTTATAAAATGAACATTACAGGTAAATACCGTTAGGTATTTACAGAAACTTCTTTTGGCTACATGAGTTTTGATAACGTTCACGTAAAGTAAATTATAAAATTGAAAGGCTTTATGTCAAAATATAGTATTTTTAAACCTGGTCATGCACTATATACTTTGGATGTCTCTTTTATTTTTTGATAAAAACAAACAAATTCGTGGTTTGTTTGTTTGATTGTGGTTTTACGTCACCCCGACACAGTATATGTCATTTGGCGACTCTCCACCTTTTCTGGTGAAGGAAGACCTCAGGTGCCCTTCCGTGCATTATTTCAGGCACGAACGGGCACCTGAGTAGAACCATTGACGTTCCATGAGCTCACATGAAAAATCCAAAGTCCCTGTCGGGATTTGTGGCGTCATATTAAAACAGATTAACCGCATAAGTATTGCAAACATAACTTCTGAATGTGATTCATCATTACATAAGATTCGGGATATTCTACAGTATATTATAGGCCGGCTTTGAAAATGACGTTGAAAATGACGTTGGTGTTATTTGAAGGTTCATCTGTTATAAAAGCACAACATTCGCGTGGATATAACTGTGTCTTTTGAATGTGATATACCAGTGTTGATATTTGGATAGTCTAGAGTAGAAAACATAAAACAAAACGTTTTACAATTCATATATTAGAAATTAAGTGTTCCAATGAAGCTGGCATACTGCATACTCTGAACACTCTGGCGAAATATTTCCATGTCTCGCAGCAAGCACTTCTGTCGCGGCTGGATAAACATGGCGGCTGCAGAAAATATGTTTCTAAGATAATGAATAAATTCGTGATGAATTATAGCTCGCAGTCAACCTATGAGTTTCCTGGAATGTCATCTTTAATCATAAAATATATGTTTATAATGTTTATTCAGATATATTATTCTTTGATAAAGACAGTAAAGCTGTTCATAATATGTCTTCTTGTGCTAAACGAAGATTCTCTGGTTCGGTCCCAAGGATTGTAACACGAAAGAGCATGCCTGGTCTTTGCAACGTTCAAAACTATATAAAGAGCCTTTTTCACTAGACCATTTCTATTCTCGTGTCAATCTTGGTGGTAAGTTCTGTGTAAGTTTACCTTCGGGAAATCTTATGACTTTGAAGTTCGTCTGAACAAAGATGATTTAAGCAGGACTGTGACTTTTAATTGCAAGAATAATAAATAACAAGTATGCTCATCAAACTCAGCTAATGAATATTATATTTTTCATTATAATGATATATGAAGACATGTGTTACGGCCTTAAAACAAGTTTCGGCTACAGTCAATCGAAAGGGAGATAAATGTGTCTTGTTTGAATTGTATTTTTTGTAATTTTAGTTATAAATGTATTATTTAAAGAGCCCCCTGTGATAGTTATGTTTGACAAACTTCCGAAATATGTTATTAATTTTTTGTTATGATACCTTTTTATATTAAAATGCATAAGTGTGTGTGTTAAATGCATGCTTGCGTGCGTGCGCGCGCGTGTGTGTGCGTGCGTGCATGTGTACACGAGCGGGAAATTATAAGTCGGTAAATAGGCAAATGACATACAAAAATGACAAATATTGTATATAAACTACTACAGGCACATCTTAGTTATATGAGTTGTTCGACGGCCTTAATCAACTCAAGTGAGACAATCTAGGATGTTATTCATACAAGATAAATTTCAGAATAAAAAAGGATTTTCCAGAATGTCCCTTTCTGGCCCGATTTAGAGTTATTGCTCTGAAAAGATACACTAGATAATACAGTGTTTTTTTGGCATGAAAGGATAAAAACAGACAAATTTCAATAATATGTTTTATGTATAAAACAAGAAAGTGCACGCTGAGTGTATAAACGAAGGTAGAAAGGATCTTAATGTTTTTTTGTTTTTTTTTTTTTGGGGGGGGGGGGGGTTCTCCAAAAACCTGATCATCGTAAATTCATAAATTAAGACCAGCCCAATACGGTTGTATTACTGAACATTTTTAAAATCCCATACATTATCAGTGTTTAAATTTTCAATTTAATGACGCCAAGAATGCTTTGCTGAAATCTCGACCTGTTTGTTATCCAAGTTGATACTTTTTTAACAGCACTGTACTTCAAAAATCATTAAAATAGAGACATGAAAATTATTAAGACATGGTCTCGAAATGACCTTCAAAGGCATAACAAGCGTTTTTCTTAATCTTTACTGCTGATTTTATTTTTGGTCCCAGATTATTCAAAGCAACAATCAATTAAATTACAATTCGGAATATTTATTTTCAGACTTGATTAAATATTTGCGGTATCTGCGAGTTGCTCATTTAATTGACACAGATAATCCTTTTTTAAAAGCATATTAGGTCAGTACGTCAAGCAGATGTTTATTATTTTCAAGACCATACAAAAAATCACCAATATTATTAAAAATATCTTGACACATCTCCTCTTCTATGTCTTTGTAACTAATAGCTACGTTATAATTATCACGAATAAGCAAACACAGTCTTTCGAACAAAAAACTCAACATTCTATCTGATAACATGTCTCCATCCACTTCTCTGTTTGTACTGAAATGTTCTAGAATTAAGAGGTGAAAAAAGTAATCTAATAATTTCTTAATAATTTGTACCATAAGACGATTCTTTGAAACTCGGCTACTTTCTGTAAGAGACCTGTAACGCATTAAAATAGCAGTCCGAATCTTTGCAATTTTCAAGACCATGTATGGTCCTTCCTTCAGAAGAGAGTCTATTCTCATACAAATTTTCATTCGTTGTGAGTGGGTTAGTTTGCCTTCGAGCAAATTTCTTTGCGGAATCATATAGCTTGGAAAATTGTTCGTCACAACAAAATGCTTCAAGTAGGCAAGTGTTTTTTTAAGTGCCATTATCAATGCATATTGAGTAAAATAATCATAGTCATTTAGTTCAGCTAACCAGAATACTTCATTCTTCATAAGATAGGAAGACATATCTTTACTTAAAGGTTTCAAAGTGACTTTAGCAATTTGTTTTAGCAAAATTAAAACTTTTATAAGGCAATCATTCAAACTATGAACCAATCTAATTTCTCCTTTGGTGAAACATTCTAAGAATTGAAAACAGCTAGTCGTATGTCCTACTGGAACCACGTGGGAATCTAAACTGGAAAC